CTTGACTAAACAAACAAGAAAATCTAAGGTGCTACAGTTTAACTTTTGCTTGATATGAAAACCTTGCGGCTCAACATTTGTTTCGATGCCAGCTGAATCATCAACATGATTGTGAGCATGTTACACATGCAAAGTAGCAAATGCATCTTAGATACACTGAATGACCATCTTCATTTTAACAACTTCACAGGTAATCTACAGAAGTGTTACAAAGCTATGTGTTCAAGGACGTTTACCTTTAGCTAAAGATATTTCTTTTCCCAATGAGGAAAGCCTTCTGTTGAAAACACACTCAGCTTTATTTCTATTTTCAAATTACATTTGAAAAGTATTTTAAGTTGTAAAAATAAAAATTATGAAAAACCTAATGTTTTCCATGCACAATTACCTTGAAAATTAAATGCAATAAATAATTTTAGAGACTATAAATTAAGAAAGTAAAAGAATAGAATAAAATTGTATGCACTTCTGTTAGAGATGATTAGACTTACATTTGCCTGCTTAGCCTGCTTTGGGGACGTTGTTCAGTCCTGCTACTTTGCCCTGCAGATGCTCTGCCTTGAGTGGACACTAACTTGGCTCCGTATCAAACACAATCCAAAGGCTGGAGACAAGCTCCGTGTCCTGCAGTAGAACCACCCTGCTGACCACCTTGATCAGCCAGACGATTATTAACATGAACATCTACGTACATGAAAATAAATGCTCAGTGTTATTAGCCATGGAATCTTGAGACATTTAACTCATATATGTAAATTTCCCATGAATGACGCACATTTCACTCTTTTTATTCAAATATTATTTTGTTTTAACTTCCTCTTAATATATTTCTAAATGGACTACTAAATGGTCATATTTATGCCATCAGTTTTAATTTAATCCATCTATCTATGTGGCAGTATGTGTACATATTATATTGGCCAGCTTTAGCCCAAGTGATGGAGTCAGTAAAAGCTATTAGCTCAGCCTATCGTAGAATTTCTGTGCAGGTCATAGAATATAATCTGTGTTTTCCTGTCTTATAAATCATCTGAATTCAGTGAGATGTTGTGTGGCACACGCCTGCTAGGAACAAAATAGAAGTCTGTCGACTCATTTCTGTCTGTCTACACCTTGGTACATGATTGGATCATGTTGATCAGAACTTTATTTTGCAAGAATGCCTTCATTTGGTGCTTAGCAACCTTTCCCAAGGGTCCTGAAGCTGCCACAAAGAGGAACACCCAATTGTCCCCAGGGAGTGTGGAGGCTGCACAGATGACCACCAATGACACAGGGGGAGGGAGACAGGACCCGGCTCTGACTCCTCAGCTACTGATCTCATTTCCCAGAACACAGATGTTTCTGACTGTGCCAGGCAAAGGGACTCTTCCTGTGATGCGTCCTCTAATCTCCTCTCCACTCCGGGATGGCTCACAGCACACCCCCCAGCACAGACTCAGGCCTCTCTTCTTTTCATATTCTGTGTTATTTTCTCACGCTATTCCTTGAACTACTAAAACCACTCTCTACAGAATCTGCTGTTTCCTCAGTTAAACTCTTTTTTTTCCCATAATCTTCATAAAGACAAAGTTTATTACTCTTGTTATGTTATGTATGTTAATGTATTACTTTAGACATTGTGTATAGAGGAAATTCTTCATGTAATTACAGGAAATGACACAGACAACAACTTCAATCCACTGTGTGTATTGAGGGGGCCTCAACAACTTTGTGCAAGAAACAAGAAATGTATTTTTGAAACATTTACAACAAAATGTTATACTTTTCTTATATGACATTCAAGTTCAGAAGAGACATTACTTGTGACAGATGTCAGAAGGACAGTCACCTTGGGTTGGCACAGGGGAACAGTGACTGACAGCGGGAAAGCAGGGGATGGAAGTATCTGGTGGATTGGTAAATGTTTCTATACGGCTTGTTTGGATACTAGTTATGGCATGAAACATGTGTCAATTGTACATTGAATATTTCTACCCTTATGTGCTTTTATCTCAATTAAAAATAGAAAGGATGCTGGCGCTTGTTGGCCTCAACACCGAATCCTAGCCACTTGGGGGCCGCCGGAGGAGGGGCAGATTGCTCAAGGTCATGGAGGGTTTGGAAATCAAGCCTGAGTGAGACTCCATCTTTACTAAAAAATTAGGAAAGAGTGAATTGGCCAACTAAAAATAGATAGAAAAAATTAGCCCTGGCATGGCTGCGTGCAGGGCCTGCTGGTCCCAGCTTATTGGGGGTAGGCTGAAGCAGCAGAATTGCTTGAGCCCAGGAGGTTTGAGGTTGCCTGTGAGCCTAGGTACGCCACTGCATTACTCTAGCTCAGGCAAACACAGTGAGACTCTGTCTCAAAAAAAAAATAGAAAAGACCAAACCTAGGTCTTATTATGGCAAGCAGGTAAAAAAAAATAATTCATCAAATATTTATGGAAAATAACCCTCATAAAAGAAAAGTATAATGTGCCCTGGGAAAATGCTGGAAAAACTATTATAAAAAGAGGCGGAAAAGGAAGGAAATATTATAATATGTCCTTTCTCCTACTGGTGCTACATAGATTTTTTTCCTGTGTTAGTTTCCTCCAACCACAGAGAATCATTTTCTGTTCCTCTTGCTCCACACCACTGCACCTACCAGGGCATTTGCATACTGTCCCCTGGGGAGGCCCTGTCCCTTAAGTCTGAGATAAAAGCTCAAATCCAACTTTGTCTGGACTGACCAGGACTCCTCAGTCCAACTTCTCAAAATGAGGCTCCCTGCCCTCAGCTCCTGGGGTCGCTGGTGCTCTGGTCCACTGTAAGGACAGAAGGAGATGAGAAGGAGGACAGGGTAGGGAGAGTGAGCTGTGGGGCCCCCACTGCCTGCCCACGTTGCTCTGTGCATGTGTGGATGTGCACGTCTTGGTCCTCTTAGGATGGGTCAAGTCAGGCTTAGATCTGAGTGAGTGAGGAAGGTTCCCGAAGGAGCAGGGACCCTGGCTTTGGTGAAGACTCTGAAACAGAAAAGGAGGGGGATTGTGCCAGGGACTTCTTAGAGGTTCTCTCCAGACTTTGAAAACCTGTGTTCTCTTTGAAATTGAATGTTTGGGAAAATAAATCAAAATCACACCTATGAAAGTTATAACTTAGCCTGAAATAAAAAAGAAAATTGGTCAAAGTTTCTCCTACTGTGTGTACATAACCTTTCCTTCTCTCTCATTGTTTCAGATCCTTCCGTGGAGATATTGGATGACCCAGACTCCAGTGTCCCTGCCGGGTCACCCTGGATAGCCGGCCTCCATCTCCTGCAGGTCTAGCCAGAGCCTCGCTGCAGGAATGGAAAGACCTATTTGCAATGGTCTTGTTATGTTAGCCCAGTAGTCTCCACAGCTCCTGATCTACTTGGGTTTCACCCGGGCCTCTGGGGTCCCAGACAGGTTCAGTGGCAGCGGGTCAGGCACAGACTTTACACTGAAGATCAGCAAGGTGGAGGCTGAGGATGTCGGGGTTTATTACTGCATGCAAGCTATACAATATCCTCTCACAGTGGTACAGCGGCAAACACAAACGTCTCTGCCGGGTGGCCCAGCTGCCCACCAGTGTTGATGGTCTGGTGAGCAGGTGCCATAGAGCACGTTGCAGGGAACCTCAAGGCACATGCGTCAGACCACTGAGCTGGACCGTGAGGGCTGTGGCTTCATCAGCTGTGAGAGCCTCGGCCTGGCAGAACCTATGGGAGAATGGAGGGGGTCAAGTGCCCTGTGAGAAACCGGATAGGACGGAAGAGAAAACTGAATGAAAGCTCATCCAAATCTTCCCTGCCTGCCCTACACTTATTTGTCAATTAGTTCATTCAGTTTAACAGTTTGTCATGAAGTCTGACTGATAGAAATCCAAAACTAATGCATTTTTTGGATTTTATTTTGGTTGAATAGTTACTGGTATTCATGCACCTGGATTCATTTAGTGATATAGACTGTTCCTTCCCCTCCACCCACCTGCACACTCCCCCTGCATTGATTTATTTATTTTTTTAGCCCATGTCTCTCTAACAAAGGGGCAGGCACAGCATTTTATACTATTGTTTCCAGGAGTCCTCAAGTAAAATTGTCCTTATTCTTGGGCTTTGACTTCTTGATAGACTTTGTTAAATCTATTTAAAAGCAAGAGTCAAAGGTTTTGATTAGTGTCGGTCACAGCATGATGAAATGAAAGGAGAGATATTTGAATTCCTTATCTCAATTGTAAAAATAAATAAGTCTGGAAGAATTATATGACATACATTTCTATGCCATATTCAAAACATTTTTGAAAATATAAAAGAATATAAGGTAATTTTGTCTCCCAAGAATAAGAATGTTAGAATTAGGAGCAGCAGTGAAGGAGAACTGGAAGGACATGTGGCAGACAGCAGCTGTTGGTGCAACACCCAGCTCCAATGCTCACATTTGTCATTGAGGGAATGCTGCTGACCGTGGGGTTGGCTACAAACCCTGATGGAATCTCATATGTATTTCTTGGAAATACTCACAGTGATGACTAGCTCCTGACTGGCCTTCAGGTTGTGCCCTGATGCCCCTGCAAGCTCGTGGGCAAGTCGTGCATCACGAAGGGCTCTGAGGCCTTGGTGACTCACAGGTTAGCAAACGTCCTCGCCAATGCACTTTAGGCGATATGAAGCATTCCTAGTCATCCCAGCAGTGTACAGGTGAGCTTCCAAAATTGACTTTTCCCCCATCTTATATCTGGATGTGACTGGAAAGAGAATGGTCATTTGGGAGGGACCTTGTATGAAAATAATTGAGAGGTTGACCAGGGTGGAATTGGTGCTGGAACATCATCAGGAGTTGCAGCTTTATAGAAGGAAACCCACAGGAATGAGGGAGGCTTAACTCCACCTTTCTGGTCCAGGCCCAGCCACTGTCCTCACCCAAACCTCAGCTCATGTCCCAAAGAGAAATCCAGTCTGGCATTGCGGGTTCAGCCCTGGTCCAGTCTGCTAAGGTGGCTCCACGCACCTGCCAGACTCACCTGGATTCTCCTCCCAGTAGAATCCTCTGCCTAGGGCAAGCCCAAATTCCTGAGCACACTTAAATCTGCAAATTTCACTAAAGAACACAACGACAGGAGAACATCAGCTCACCTACAAAGGCTTTTGCCTCACTGGAATGTTAGGTCATCTGCCTTTTGTTTATTCTATAGTGCTCTCATGTCATCACAAACATGACTTTTTAAATTTATTTCCTGTTCTCTTCTGCTTTTGTCATGAAATTTTTTGTCTTCTAAGATCTATAGCATTATTACTGAACGTGAAAGTTATTTTTTTTTACTTCAAATTAACTGCAAACTAGTACAACCAATATGGAAAGTAATATTGAGATATCTCAAAGAACTAAAAGTAGTAATACTATTGGATCCAGCAATCCCAGTACTGGGCATCTGCCTAAGGAAAAAAAGGACATTGTATTATAAAGACATTCTCCTAATAGAAGTATCACAAGAATGGAAAAACAAGCACCACATATACCCACCATCTACTTGGTACTAATTGATCAGCACTTATGTGTACATATGGAAGTAACATTCATGGGGTGTCAGGAAGGTTGGAAGGGGAGGAGGAAATAGGGATATTCATACCTACTAGGTGCATTGCACACTGTCTGGGGGTTGGGCATGCTTGTAGCTCTGACTTGTAGAATATATGTAACCTAAACATTTGTACCCCTGTAATATTCTGAAATAATAATAATAATAATGAACCAAAAGCAGACACAGAATTATCCTTGCTATACCATTAAGTGGAAACAAGATGAGTAAAACTCAGATAGATTGGTTGATGGGAGTTGTTCAAGGTCATCCACCTA